TCCATAACATGTTGTTGCATAACATTTAGTTTTCAGTGTTATGCAACATTTTCGTTTATTTTGCCCCCAACGCTGCAATTCAAAGTTTATAGAGACCGAAATATTTTGTTATTAATGATAGAGTTTAATGTATTATTGATATCATTCTTTTCTTCAGGAAAGATCGTGAAGATAAACGTTTTCAATAAATTTTCGGTCCTATCTGGCCTAACATAAACCTAAATAAACTTAAACAACATTAGAAATATGTGCAAAAAACATTAAAGCTTCCAAAGAAAACTTGCAGATGCATAATATATGCCAAAAATGTCAGTACGAAGTTATATTTAGTAATACTCTAAATTGGAAACTGTTGAGAACATGTCGAAAATAATAATAACTTTAAAAAAGTTGGAAAGGAACTCTTTAAATTTAAATAAAAGAGGCAAAAAAAGAACTGCGAATGAAACGCTAAATAAGAAAGTATGGATCTCTTACAATCTTAATTTTTTTTTTTTTTTGGTTTTTATCTATTGAACTATTGAACATATTACCACACAACCAATAGCAAGGATCGTCGAATATTTAGATAATTGTCGAAGACGAGTAGGTCCTTTTGGTATTTCGCTGGCTATAACGTATGATTAGTCTTTATTTGTATATATATAAAGTAATAAATAAAATTAACTAACTTGTAAAAGTAGGAAAATATACAATAAATCGAAAATTCCATACATAAAAAAATTAAAATAAAACTTTAAAAAATCACCATAATTTCTTAATTATAATTTCATTCACCATACTATAAAGATACTAAACAAGAACGCTTACCACTAATATGCAACTTACATTACAACTGGTGAAAGGTATCGTTGCCTACATTTAAGTGTAACCATTGGCAATGCGGTGGACACAGCGATTTAAAAATTAAAGTATACTCGCAACAGACAAGACATGATGAAATAATATATTTTATTTAATTATAATAAATAACTACATATTAAAAAAATTGAGTTAGGTATAAGTAATGAGTCGATTATTAATCAGATAAGTATCTTTAGATTAAATAAAGGTTTTATAATTATGCAGAGAAATATATTTAATAAAGTGAAAAAAGTAAACCGACATCGGAAAATAATAAAAATAAAAGCATACTAAAACTGTTCAGGTTGTTATAATGGAAAAAATTAGCCAAAAATAAACGAATCACAATTTTTTAAAGGACGACTTCTTGCAAAAGACAGAACAATAATAACTTTATTCAGAATAATTTTTAAATTTTTTTATAGAAACTTTTGTGTGTTCCTATTATGGCACAAAACAAGTTATGGTGTTATTTATTTTCAACAATAAAAAATTTCGTTAAGCTCTGACTATGCGTTCATTTATGTCGATGTTTTTAAACACGGAAACATATTTGAATATTTTAGAAGAATCTCTTTGAGCGATTATGGAAACCGTTTAACATCAGCGGAAGATTTTGTCTTTCAACAGGACGAAACAGGTTGTCATCATCAGCCGTTTTGAGTCCACTGCTGGACATACCAGTTGTGGACGCAAAACATGTCATCTGACCACCTTGTTGGAGGACGTCCTCGATTACGATAAGCATCGTGACTAGGTCTCCATTTCAGAATTTTCTTCGTCTACCTTCCATCTTTTCATATGGCAACATGCCCCGCCCAGTTCCATTTCAATGTTGTAATCCTTTGAACTGCGTCAGTAACACCAGTAAGTGTTACTGACGCAGTTCAAACTGTCTGAGGGATACATTCAGCATTGACCTCTCCATCGCTGTGCCACTTGTATTTTATTGATTCCTTTTCTGGTACGGGTCCATGTTTCTGCTCTATACGTTAGAACTGGAAGTACACATTGATCAAAGACCTTCCTTTTCAAGCACATGGGAATATCTGATCTAAAGACTTCTCCCACTTTTCCGTAAGCCGTCCATGCCAGTCCTATTCTCCTGTTTAGCTCCGTTGTTTGATTATCTCTTCCCAATTTAATCTCGTGGCCCAGATATTTATAGCTGTTCAATTTGCGTCCCGTTAGTTGAGATGTTTTTCACCACTACAAGGTTGGTCATATATTGTGTTTTGAAAAAATTAATTTTGCTGTATAAACCAATATCTAAACGGTGCACCAGTCCCGCATGAATGGAAAGTATCCTTCATATCATCTATACATAAGAAGGGAAGTAAACTAGACTGCTCAAACTATCGAGGTATATCAGTAACCAGTACCTTAAGTCGCCTATATGGAAGGATACTTCGAGACTTTATCGAACAAGAATATAAGGAACAAGAAGAAGAACAATCTGGCTTTAGAGCGGGAAGGAGCTGCACCGATAATGTGTTTGTTTTGAAACAAACAATAAAAAAAATATTAAGTACCAACCAAGAAACTCACCTTATGTTTATAGACCTTCAGAAGGCCTATGATACTGTACCCGCTAAAAAGCTATGGAAAGTTTTGCAGGAAACACATATTAACCACACAGTAATTAACGCCCTTAAATAGCTTTATGAAGGATCAACATCGGGAATAAAAATTGGAAATAGACTTTCAAAACAATTTCCTGTAAACAAGGGACTCCGGCAGGGGTGTTGCATATCACCCACATTGTTTAAAATCTACGTGGCGAAAGCACTGTATCAGTGGAAGAGAAAGTGCAGAGGAATGGGCATTGATCTGGAAGAAACTTGCCTATATACCCTACAGTATGCAGACGAACGACGATACAGTCCTTATAGCCAACGATAAAGAAGACCTGATATATATGCTATATATATGCTATGATATACTATTCTTTTCCATTCTTTTCTGTTTGTTGCTTTATTTTTCCAGTTTGGTATTTTAAGTTTTTCTATGTCTTTTTCAACATCCTTCTTCCACCTGGTTTTCGGTCTGCCTTTCTTCCTTTTCCCTCCTATTCCTCCCATTAGCAGTCTTTTTCGCAGTCTCGTGTTTCCTATCCTTTGGATGTGTCCCAACCATCTCAGTCTTTGTGACTTTATGATCCCTGCGATATTCGGTTCTCCATACATCTCTTCTAATTCCATATTTGGTCTTTTTATCCATATACCATTCCATAATGTACCTCCAAATATTTTCCTGAGGACTTTTCTTTCCCAGACTTGCAGCAAGACTTGTTCGGATTTGTTCATTGTCCATGTTTCACTGGCATATAATACAATAGGTCTTATTACTGTCTTATATATTCTTATCTTAGCCCTTCTAGATATGTTTTTGCTTCTTAATAAATTAATTACTATTTAACTGGGAATAAGCCACAATTAAAGATAAAAATACGTTTATTGACGTTTCAATTTCCACTTCGGAAATCGATCTCAAACACAAATTAAAAACAATTTACTGTTAGCTTCAGAACAATCTTAATAAATTGTTTAGTGTAAAAATACAACGGTTACCGGCCATAATTCTCGCTTGGATTTCTTCCTCCATATTTGGTTTTCTCGTGAATGTCGATCCTAAATACTGGAATATTTCTACTTCTTCGAATGTATATGTTTTTTCACCTGTTATTACTGTCAGATATTGTTCTTATAGGTAATCTCTTTCATTTCATTCCATATATTTGGTCTTTTCTTCATTTATGTACATCCCTTTCTTTCTCGCTTTCATTTCTAATCTTTTTATTATTTCTTTTAATTTTTGTTTACTTCTGGCTATCAGTACAATGTCGTCAGCGAATACTAAGCATTGGTGTTTTCTTTGATATATAAGTCCTGACCTGTTGATTCCAGCTTCTCTGATGGTAACTTCGAGGACTATACTGAACAACAGCGATGACAGTGGGTCTCCTTGCCGCACCCCCTCACTGACCTCAAACTTATCTGTTTCTTCGCCAATTATTTTAACCCTATTCTCTATTCTTCGGAGTGTCACTTTTACCATTCTTATCAGTTTTCACTAATTCCCATTTCACGTAGCGCTTTGTATATTTCTTTGCATTTTATCATATCGAACGCTTGTTTAAAGTCGATGAATAGGGCCATTGTAGGTTTCCCATATTTGTAGCTTTCTGCTTGTATTTCGCGCAGTAGGAAAATTTGATCCACTGTGCTGCGCCCTCTTCTGAATCCACATTGATATTCCCCTATGTCATTATCTATATTTTGAGATAGCTTATCTTTTATATATATTGCAAGTATTTTATATGCAACATTTAGTAGGGCTACTTCCCTGTAATTGTGGAATAGACTTTTGTCGCCTTTTTTGTGAAAAGGGCACAGCGTCACTTCGGTCCATTCCTTCTGTAATTTTTCTTGTTCCCATATGTCTCTTAGCAACTTTTTCAAATGCTTGATTAGTACTGGTCCCCCATATTTAAACATTTCAGCTGTTACTTCATCTCTTTCTGGGCTCTTATTATTCTTTAGTTTCTCTATTATTTCTTTTATTTCTTTTTCGTTAGGCGGTGTTTCCTCTATTCGTTCTTGATCGACATTTTCCTTCGCTTCTTCTTCCTCTTCATATTCTGTTGTGGGAATTTCATTTAAATTTCTTCAAAGTATTCTTTCCATCTGCTTAATATTTCTTCGTCACTTACTAAATTTCTTCCACTTTTGTTTTTGTAGTGTACCGGTTTACCTTGGTACCCTTTTTTCTCATTTTTCACCCCTTGAGGTAAAAACTATGCCTCAAAGAATTGTGGATGTCATTAAAAATTAAGAGTATGTAACTCTGTAGTAAACTTTCACATTTTCTTTGTTAATATTACGGCTCGTATGTATATTTAGTTTGTAATTATTTTCATTGTGAAATTTTTAATTAATATTTGTATAAGAGCACTCATACATGTTGAAAAATATCATTAAATATTATAAATTATTCTGTTACGGATAAATAACTTTATAAACTATATTAACTGTATTGTTAAAGAATCGTAATTTTTTATTATCAAATACTCATTTGTGTAATAAACCATTTTGTACCAATCACGGTGATACGTGACAGTGCATCTACGACTAAAAAAGAATGACACAAGCACTTACTTTGATTGAAAACCCTCAAACTCTTCTTGCTGCTCGCTGATAGAGGCCTCGAGGTCAAGGTAAGATCCATAGTCCCCATCTTTGTACAACTGAAGCGCCGCATCATCCAACTGTAACAAAATAAACGCTTATTATTTTTCTTCAATACTTCAATAAATTCTGTATTTATGGTCACTTTACTCAGTGGCGTATAACGAACAAGTTATTTCCACTCAAAGAGGAACAGTTAGTTAAAAAAGAAGAAAAGTCGATATTGGACTAAATTCCTAGAGTTACGTAATGTAACGCAGTGGTTTATGGAAAAATCGAAAAAGAATACGATTTGTAGATTTATTACAATACTGAAAAAATGGTATTTAAACACAATTCATATTATGTATATTTTATGCGCATTAAAAATGCGCATGCATGTTATGCAATCGTCGTTATATTTTATGTGCATGTTCTTCGGACTTTTGTAGTGAACCACTTTAGTGTATTTTGCATACACTAAAGTGGTAAAAAGCTTAATTTTGTAGTATACAGAGAAATCTGCTTGATTCTTGAGTCATTATCAGACAAGGAAAAAAACACTTTTGGTAAGTAAATATTTATTAATAATGACATAAATACATTAATGTTGCCATTGCATTTTCCATTCCGAAGACATAAAATAATCCGCGAATTAATTGCGAATATTACTGGCTGTTAAATTTCCTCTTACCGAATTTGATAGAGGTACTTCGCGCAGGGGAGAATCAGAGCCATCAGTAGCATTTAAATCAGTTTCTATGTTAATAACAATTTCTTTTTCTTTGTGGATGAAATTTTGCAATAAACAGCAAATCTTTACTATATCGACCACTAAATGAGTCAATACATTCAGGGGTCGATAAAAATTCGCCATTATTTCAAATGCGCATTCAACATATCATTTTGCTCTTGTCTCGCAATAGTTGAATTTTCTTTTTACATCATCGAGTTGATGACCACCAAAAGAGCAAAGTAATTATTCATGTAATGCAAATGCGACGTCGGCCACGACGATGTTGTTGGCATTTGTTGTTAGATGGATGTATATTCAATCTTATCTTCGTGTCGCTGACGACCCTTGCTAGTTAAAGTTCGCAGTTTCTTCCTCTTCTAAATCTGAATTGATCCTCCTGGATGATTCTTCTTATTTCTGCATGTTTCATTAGTCTTCTATAAATGATTTTCTTCAGGATTTTCCAATTGTTTCTAGGAGACATATTGGTCTGTAGCTTTCCAGTCTTCTTCCATCTTTCCTTGGTTTTAGTAGAGGGATGATCTTGGTGTGTTTCCAGTTACTTGAGAAATTTCATTTTTCCAAGCAGTACTTGAAGATATAGTACAGTTGTACTATTATCTTTTTAGCTAGTTACTTGAGGGCGATGTTGTGTATTCCTTTTGGTCTTGGTGTTCTGCTTCCTTTTAATTTCCTAATGATTTTGACGACTTCTGTTGGGTTTGTGTATTCTTACTCATTTCTTCTTTTGATCCTTGCCTATTTTGTGTTGACTTCTTCTATGGTTCTTCCATCTAACGTATTCTGGTTTTGTCTGTGTGTAGCTGTCATTCTTCTTGCTATTGCATCCACTTTTCTTTGTGTTTCGAAGTGTATTCCCTTGTCGTCTATGATTTGGGGCTTTTTTTGTTTTCTTTTTTATTTGACTTTTAGCATTTTCCATAAGTTTCTATGATTTTCTTCTGATTTTCTGATGCTGTTGTGCCATTTGTTTTGTGCATCACTGTTTTGTTTGTTTTGTGCATCATTTATTAGCATTAACAAATTTGTAGCTTTTAGAAAGGCAAATACAATTCAATGCTCAGCGGTTTTCTTCAAATGCCAAATTTGAAATATTCAAAGTCAAATATCGAGAAAATGATGCATTTTTGGAAGAAAACTCACGGAACCTTTTTGAAAGAGCATAAATAGACCTATCATAAAAAAAGACTCTATCTTAAAAATTGAGTAAGTTATGATGAAAATAAGGTCAATACCTCATTTTTTTTACGAAAAAATCGATGAAAACAACCTCCTAACCACCCCCATAATTAAAATCAATCTTCACCCTTCTGCAATTCTCTTTGTACATGTATTGTTAATACTTCCAAGAAGTTTGACCCATTTAAAATGCTTAGTTTTAGAAAAAGTACAGCATAAAGCGAGAAACGATTTACAATTTCATATTTTTTACCCTTCTTTTTTTAAATACCCTCGAAAATACTGAATATATGAAAAAAAAATAAAAATGTACTAAATTGTAGTTTTTAATGACTAAAGTTTTCCTTTATTTAGATTTGTTGTACAATGAATATTTGGCGAAATATAGCCGTTTAAAGCATCGATTTACGATCAAGCACCATCTTTTTCGCGCCCTTTAAACTCACCCTATTTAAAAACCAAGGGTTCCAAAAAGATTTAATTCACAGATCCTTGTAGCTCTTGAAAACCTCTACAAAATCGTTTTTAAAGAAACACTCTATCGTTAAAAATGAAGGAAATACGTTAAAAAAACCAATTAATTTTTTTTCCGGAAAATTCCATTAGTATACTACAGTACATTTCGGAGCATAATAATCTTCAAAACCGGTTTATTAGGTAGTGGGGCGTTATACATTCGAAATTTTAAGCGTTCTTATTTTGAAATCCCATACAACAGAATAAAACATCTGATCATATGTCTACGGCTTGGCAATGAAAATATCAGAGCAACAGATTGGGGATGGTGTTCCAAAGAAGGTTTGTTATTACCCGTACGCATGAACAAACAACCTGCACCCGATGAACTTTTGAAAATTATTTTTTGACAATGCAAAAAAAGGATGCGGCGTTTCATGTGGGTGCAGAAAAGTTAGTTTATACTGTAACTCTACCTGTTCTGGGTGCTCAGGTGAAGGGTGCAATAATAGTATACCAATAACTGAAGAAGATGAGGATGACATAGATCACGATGAAGATGTAATTGATTGCGAATAAAATTAATATTATAATTGTTTTACCTATAAATGTAAATATTTTCAACTATTTATGTAAATTTATAAGAATATATGGTGCCTTTTTATGTTGATAAATTTTTTTATATTGTATTTAATTCTACTTTTTTCAATTTATATCTATTAAATTAGTTTATAAAAACTGCAATGTTGTAAAGGGTAATTTTCAAAAGTTGAAAAGTTTCAAAATTTTGGCAAAAAATTGTTTTCGCCTATAGCACTCATAACAATTGATTTTTAAGGGTTGAAAATGTATGAAATTGTATTTTAAAGTATAAAAAAATCACTATTTAACTAATCCAAACCAAATTTCACTCATTTTAAGATTTATAATGTTATTTTACAATTTTTGAAAATTAGGAGTAGTTTTCACCCCTGAGAACAATCAGGGTTCATCGGCATGACATAAACTATAAAGCCGAGGGTGAGTTGACCTTAATTCCAAATTTTTAAGCAAATCGTTCCAAGGCGAAACCATTTTCTTCGCATTACTACTTTTTTTACATTAATCTCTAACAAGGGTCGCTTTTTAAGGGTTGAAATATGATGGAACTCTATTCAAAAGTATAAAATAATCATTATTTAACTAATACAAACCAACTCTTAACCATATTCAGGTTTTATATGTTATTTTATAATTTTTGACAATTAGGGATAGTTTTCACCCCTAAAACCCTTCAGCGCACTTCGGTTCAATATAGATTTTGATCCTTGGGCTATCACCTACCTTCTGTTAAAATTTCAACTCAATCCATGCAGGACGAAAAAATTGCGAAGTTTTAACTTTTTTCGAGCTTCATTTCCTGAACTATTATCGCTTCCTTTACACAAACAACATTGTTGCGAGACAGATAGTTAAACGATATTTTATACAATGTCTATACCCAGGTATGGATTTATTTTTGTCCAAGTTTTATATTGGTTCACTATTTCAAATGCAGTTCAAACAGACATATATTAAATTGTATGATCCGTTTTAATTTGGTTCAATCTGTATAGACATAATGCATTATGATTTTTTCGTGTGTATGGTCTGTTGTTGGAGCATATACTTGAATAATTTTGAGTTGATATCTACTGTTCAACTTCAGAATAAGATATGCCACTCTAGATGATATACTTTGGATTATTGATTTTATGATATCCCGAACCGTTTCAAACCGATTAAAGTTAACCAGAGGCTCTGTGATGAATTGACTTTGACTGAACTCGTTTATGAATGTTTGACCGTATGTAACTATTTACAGGTTTGACTTGTTTTAGACTTAGAGTGTCAGTAGTTCAGTTGTGAGCCTTTATGCGGAGTAGATGATGGTTATAATGTTGTGTTCCGTGTAATACGAGTTAATTCGAATTCTTCAAAGATGGATATTACTCCTTCCAAGCGTGCTAAATTAATCGCTCTTAATGAACATACATTTATGACTGTGAGAGATATAATTAGGGCAGTTGGTGTGCAAAAATCAAGTGTTTCAACAATTTTAAAAACATTTCAAGATTCAGGATAATCCTTGACAAAATGTATACCTTTTAAATATATATATTTAAAAGCTTTTGGTACGCTTCTGTTTTCGCTGATTGTATTCGCCTTTATAAACGTTATTATTTGTTAGTAGAACGCTTATTACAGAGCTACAACGCAGAACATGGATTTTGCGGTTTGCTATTCAGTGAATAAATGAATAAGACCGCATAATGAGTTGTAAAACTAGACAATCTGATTTAGAATCAACAAAAATTCATTGTTAGAACCAGAAGTAACTGCAAAAGAAAAATACACTCGGCGGACGAGACGAATCCAATTAGATTCATTTCTATTATATTGGCATAAGTCAGTGTTTCTTTATGGTGGCTGTTTATTAGATATGCCCAGAATACTGTCTTTTGTTCCAAACTGATATTTTATTTCCTTTATTATCGGCGCGGTGTCGACCAAACCCAAAGTAATAGCTAAGTAATAGCCAGATTGTAAGCTGTTTTTCTTAAAATTTAGAATTCTTAAATGTTTATTTTACGAATGATTTGTTTATTTATTTATTATAATACATTAGTTAAATTAGGGGAATCTCACTAATCGGTACTACATATAAGATATTAGCTTCAGTTGTACTAA